AACAATCTTACACCTGTGCAATACTGGCAGAAACACCAGCCAAACGCTACGGAGACAAGTGTCTCAAACCAAAACGCTACCAGAAGCAAGCGCCTCTCAAACAAGCAATCAAACAAGCAACAAGTTCAATTGTGTCTACTCAAGTCAATGCCTCGCGAGGTCTACTCGATCATCTTCCTCGCTAGCCTCCAGATCTTTACAAAGTGTTGCTCTAAAACGCGAAGTCTACGGGACACCACTTTTAGGCCCCGGAACATGGAATATCGGAATATGGAATACTCATTTCTGGAAGCGGAAGAATCCGGAATACCCAAATTTGGGCCTTGGAATACTAGAATACAGAATACAAGGCTTTTCCGAGCATACTACACAACAAGTGGCAAACAATGGCAAAATACTTGACTTTGACGTAAAAAGACATCCAAAAGCATGCTTCGAACAAAAAAAGATTGTAAAAGGACACACGCAACAAGCGCACTCCTTACGTACCTTTCAAAATGTCAAAAGTCACATTTGCGAAACGGAATACAGAATACTTGAGCACCCTGGAATCCGGAATACTGCCTTTTTGAAACCTTGGAATACAGAATACGGGGGGTCAAGTATTCCATGTTCCGGGGCCGACACTTTGTCTCGACCAATTACGAACCAGCGTATCTTTCTACGAGTGGTTCTAAGCTATTCGAATCTATCGGACGACTCTACGGACTGGTGGTCTCCATCGCTGCCGTCAACGCCTGAAGCCCATTTACTCTGACACACTCGCGGCGGCCGCGCTAAGTGTCACTTCGCGCGCTCACTCGCGGACTAACTGTACTCGTTACCGGTGGTGCTGACCGCTAAGTGGCGGTCACGGGGCACTACAACCGATTGTCCGATTGGGCAACAATTAAATATATTTCAACTTGCTCAAAAATTTGAATGTAAAATAAATTCGAATTTCAAATCTGCAGGTCATTTTGCCCCGTCCGAAAACGAAATAAACTAGTAAAATGAAGCTGCCCAAATTCCATAGCATACGGAATTAATTATTGGGCAAAAATTTGCCCAACCGGACAATCGTTACACGCGGAACGCCCGATTGCAAAAACATCCATCTGTATCCCGCTTCCGTCCGATCTTGCATCGTTTACCTCAAATCAATTTTCAACCGCCGATATTCTCAAAAGTGCCCGGTACTCGAA